AGGACCTCAATTAAAAGGAAAATAAATGGCACTACAGAGCAGCAATGGGTCAGGTGGTGATTTCCTTGAAATTCTGAATCTTTCCATATGGAAAAAAAAATTGTCAATCGCCTCAAAAATATGCAGATGGATGTAAGAGTGCCAAGGGACTAATAACAGAAATAACTTATTTAGTAAACCTATCAATATGGCCCCAGAGTGCAAATTAAGTCGTAAACATTTCTATGTTTCACAGACATGTGTCTTAGGCGCTAAAGTATGGAATACAGGAAACAAATTGTTAATAGAATGCTGAAGAACCATGACAGTGCAGAAGTGACTTGAGCTACTTCCTTTCTCCTATCATTGGAATGAGGACAGGGCCATGACAAAGTACAGTGTCTACAGAGCTTTAGTGCTCTTCTAGAATCCATGAGTATGTCATGACAGAGTTCAGTTCCCTCAGCCAGGAGTACAAAAAGTGCCACATGAATGCAAATATATAGATATATTTGGTACATACTTATATATAGTATATTTGTATATGCCAAATATCTTTACTAAATATATTTACCAAAATATATTTACTGAAGAAAAATATGAGTAAAACCATAGCTTCTGTGTTATTTTTAAAATAAACTATGAACTCTTTAAGTAAGAAAAAAATTTAGAAACATGGCTCAAGGGGATCACTTATCCAAACCTGAGATAAATTCGAAATAGTGAGGTCCCTGAACAGATTTCTAAACATTAAGATTGGCACTTAAAAAATCATTGAAGTTTTAAAGAAGTTCTTAAATGGTTATATTTGTTCCCTTTTTATAATCAAACAAATAGAAACACGAATAGCAGAAAAGAGCAAAACAGCCACCATCTTCGCATACTAGTAGTATCACAGCTCGTCAAACTCTCAGTACTAAATTAATTAACATGTTTCATTTAGTTGTTTAAGAATGAGATGCACTTTAATTTTCAACTAAATTCAGTGGATGTGATATGAGTGATAATACCAACTTCAGGGCATGGAACTTAGTAGGAGGTAAAAAATACTTTTTTGAATAAATATTAGTTGAATCACAATAGTAGCTATACAGTAATGGGATTGTACCTCTATATATGTACATGTATTTACATTTTTTACATACCATAACTCTTTATGTCCTTGTACAACTGTGTAAAATAGATGTAATGTTATCGGCCAAAAGACCAATGTTAGTCTATAAAAATATGTTTCCTGAAAAGTTAGCCTTATTATGATAAATTCATTTCCTTTTTATTTGTTTTTAAACTGGTTAATGGGAGAATAATCGTAAAGACTCTGGCTCTATAATTTAAAATCCTTTTTCCCTGGAGTGTCCTCACTCTCCACAAGAACAAAAGCTTCTTTTGATTTATCGAAACTTTAAAATAATAAGAAATGTGTAAAAAGTACACCAACATTAGAGAAGTAACAGAGAAATTCTGATCCACATTATTGGAAAATCTAAACTGTCAGAATGTCATTAGCCTGAAATAAGACTTGGAATTAAAAATAAGAACATCAATAATGATAATAAGTTTTCTCGTCAATCTGCCATAAATGCTAATAAAACTGGTGCCGCCAATTTAATTGCAGCCCTTTGCCCAAAGCATAGATGAGTCTTTTCTGTTGTAGTACAGAAACTATTTACAACTATGTTTACATATGTACATATTTACAAATTTATAATTTATAGTCAGACATTAAGGGGGCAATGCAGACCTTCCAAGGAAAATATTCTAAAAGTGTCTGATAATGCTACCATACAAAGCATTTGTATTGCTTGTCTTCAAAAACTACATACTTTTTTCATACTATTGCACCCTTCCCCAAACTACACAGAAGAGCTACGCTATATTTAAAGAAAATAGCACACCTTCTATTTCAATGTTTGAATAAAGTGCACATTTTAAAACTATTTAGATTGACAAATAAGGTGTTACTGGAAGGGAATTAAAGAAATACATTTATTGGCTCATGTAACAATTTTATTTTATTAAGGATTAGGGATTACCTTTTGTGAGGGACTTTTTAATGTCAAGGCTGTCTTCACGGCAAATTCTGTTAATAAGATGCATTTGTGACCTTGGTATTACACAATCATGCAAAGCACATAATAGAACCACACTAAAACAAAGAAAATGAAAAATAAATTAGATGAGGCAAAAGAATAGCAATTTTTGCTGAGATTTTGCTTGTTTCCATAAGATACTCCTTTTATTGATTTTATGAACATACCTAGTTATGCACTATACTCAAATACTGTACAAAACTGCAAGAAATGTCACTATTTGACTACTTATTTCTACAAAAACACCATCATAAAGGTGCGTCTATTAGCAAAAGTCAACTAATAACTGCTAATGTACACGTCAATCAAAAGTATTTTAGGTTTGCCAAAAACTTTGAATCTAGGCATTGTTAAATTTTATTAGCATATTTTAAGGGCATAAAGAGTACTTTTAAATATTTAAAGAAAAATGAATTGTATCCATTA